AGATCTGTGAAGGTTTTATGCTGACATTTTCAAAGTCTAAATATTTGAAGATCTAGCCACCTATCTTCAGAATTTCCTCATAATTTTCTATCAGGACTGGATTTCTGTTGATAACAGTATTAATTTTGCAAAACATTGTTACAGGATAGAACTTTTCGAAAGGATGGAAATTTCATTCTGTGCTGTCTCATATTTCAGAAGCCTTTGGCTGTGACCACTGAGAACTTAACATTTTCTTAGAATTTTATGTACTCTTAATTACTTTAAGTTTAAATAACCCCTTGTTGCTAATGGCTACAGTACTGGACACTGCAGCTACAGAGTGTCTATTTCAAGTTGTAAAGGCAATGAATGGACTTCGAAAAATCCCATTAGCCTAAATGATGATCATGAATTATATGAATTACAATTTCAACTCAGGATTTCAAGAAGTTACAAATGCTTTTAACATTAAGAAATAATGAGTAAAGCTGATGCTTATATCCAGATTTTCCGTACCCTGTTTGTTATATTGATGACATAAGGTGCTATTGAAAGCGAGACTTTGATTATAAATATTAATTGAGTAATAAGGTCTACTGCAACTCTGCTAAAATGTGCTTGGCTACCACCTTAGGTGTGTAAAATTCATTGCAGGGATACCAAGTGATTCAGAAAATACACCAAGTGAAAAATATTTACAAACAAACATTACTACACTTTCACAACTCTTCTCGAAAAAAAATGAGTATTTTCAGTTATGGCGTTATGTGACCCAAAACATACATTCTAGTCTACTAGAAAAAGAAAACCTTTCTCAAGTATTTTACTTAATGACATTGTTCTTTTTTTATTGTAATTTTTTATTTCCTTGAATGAGGCATATAGAAGACTAGCATGAAACATGAAAAGAGCTTCTAAAAAGCTTTGTAAAGTATGAACATCTACAGACACACACACAAAAAAACAAAAAAGAAATAAGCGATCGACAAACACAAACAAAACCAACTGAAATGGCTCTTATAAAATGCAAAGGTTTGGGGGAGGGTCTTGGAGTGTGTTCACTTACCATTTGTCCAATACCCTGGGCCCTGGGGAGGTAACTATTCCAAATAATTATGACTGAGAACAAGAGCAAAGGTCACAAAGAACCAATACCTTTTTCTTTGCCTGTAGAAGCTCCTGATAGGCACTGGATCTTATAAAACGTGGGTATGAATCACTTTTCATCAATTTGTAAATGTGCTCCTAAAAAGAAATAATGGTTGAGGTGTTTCTTTATTATTTCTCAGAAAAAAAAAACAGATACTGTGATACGAAGACAACACACTGTTCAAAAACAAATCTGGAAGGAGCTAGAAATAATAATAATAATGATGTTGATGAAAATACCTTGTGTGTACAGAACATGTTGATCCTCACATTTATTAGTTTATTCATGATTCAAGGTTTAAACCGGTTTAGGAACTACAAAGAACGTAAACCATATCCAGTCGTTTAAAAAAATGGAATTTCATTAACAGAAGATCATAAAGTGATTTCAAATCAAGGTGTTGATTTACATATTATTTGAGAATATAAATGAGTCTGTTATCTCTTAAAATTCTCTTAAATCTTAAATCTTAAAATATCTCTTAAAAAAGGCCAAAAGTGAATGATGTGATTATCCGAGATACCTTTGGCATCACATGTCCTGCGAGGGTGCAGACTGCCCATATGAATCATCTCTCTGTGGTGCAAATTATGTGGAAAATTGTCACCCACGTCCATTTTGGGCCAGAGCACAAGTCCAAAAATAAGTTTTGTGATATTTATTGGCTTTATCTCCCAATTTGTGTTTTTTTTCCTCATTTGGTGACAAATGAGGTAAATAACAATTTAATCCTAGTTAGTCTGCAGTGTTCTATTTTCATGATAAATATTGGTAAACAGAGAAGTCAAGAGAAAAATGTATTTATCCACTTCAGTATTGTTGGCCCAATTTCGGGAGATTCTGCTCTGGCCTGTTGCAGCTCAAGGGACTGTAATGCTCCTTGGTCTTTCTAGTCTAGTGAAATAGCAGTGAGCAGTAGAGTTGTGAACTATTTGAGAGTATCTGGATGTCCGCATCTCTACATATTTAGAGAAAATATATACTTTTCGAAATGACTCGGGTTCACACCAGGAATAATTTATAGAGTTATTCTGAATCTACTTCAAAACATTCACGATCAAGCCTCAATACCTAGCCCAAGGTTCATCTCCAAGAGTACAGTACATTTGGAACTGATCAGACAGAGTTTGTTGGTGGGAAAGGGGAGCGAATTCTTGTTTTGGAGTCAAGTACTCTGGGATTCACATACTAGCTGGCTCAAGATCTACCAGTTACAAAGTGCAAATTGAGACCAATCGATTCATCTCGGTGAGCTTTAATTTTCTAATGTGTAAAGCAGAGTTGCTGTGAGGAGTAAAAGAAGCTCAGTGTTTAGAAGAGTATGGAGCTCTGCATATAGTTAAGTGCTGAAACATCCTTGAGTACATGCCAGGCACACTTCTAAGTGCGTTCCTATATTAGTAAATTTAATCCTCACAAAACCTCCACAAGGTAGGTAACTATTCTCATATCCACTTTAAATATGAGGAAACAGGCACGGAAAAGTGAAGTACTTGCAAGAGGCCACAGAGCAGAGCTCAGAGAAGAATCCAGGCCACTTAGTTCCAGTACCTGCTTTCTTACCCATACACTGTGTCTCTTCTCAAACCATGGCAAGGAATTTCTATAATATTTTTGAAGATAGGATTAAAACAAAACAAAACACCAAAAAACTGGAATTAAACATCTGAGCTTAATTGCAAGAGAAGCATTGGGTCAGGGGGGTCATTCCAAATGTTTTACACATTGTTGGCTCTAGAAAAATGTTTGAAATGCTATCTTGAAGTGAACGAAAGGTAAACAAGCAGAGAAGTAAGCAGTATGGCCAGAATTTTTATCCTGCTCTCTCTCATATATCTCCGTAGAATATAATAATTTCCATACAAAAGACCATGGCAGAGCCAAGGAGAATGGGCGTTTGGTTAGCTGTTTCAGCCTGTGGTGGTCTGTTTCCTTAAACCAAAGCCAAGGAGAATTGTGTTTTCTATGGAGACTAAAAATAAGGAAGGGCATTTGTGTATCTTATTCTTTATCTTCTACATTTTATTTTAATAGCACTGTTGTTTAAAATACAAGCTACTTTGGAGAGTTAATATTCTTTTCTAAAAATTGCTTAAGAAATTATGAAGTATGCATGTTCTGATTTAAAGGCCAATTCCAACACATCATTAGGAAATAATATCCCCTCACTACAAGTTTATTTTTCTTCTTGAGAATAATAATATTTTTTAGAGAACATGAAAATTCAAATTGTTCCTAACGAGGCAATTACATCCAGCTTAAGAAAAAACACTGAAATTTTGTCTTAGGAAGTTAATATCTTAATATCAATTTCCTTTTTTTTTCTTTTTGCAGATTAAACTTTTTTCTTGGAAAATTAACAAGTGCTTAAATCTAGAATTTAATTTTATGAGTTTGACCTAACTTTAAGCTAATTTAGTTTAGTTCTGACTATTTATAATATTGAATAACTTAATAATGTCAGAATCTTAGAATATCCATATTGGAAGACACTTTAAAGGTTTCAAGTATGTGTCACTGAGATAGGGCCATCATTAGATAAATGCTTGCTCTCACATTGGGTGACAAACAGAGTAGAAAATGAAGTAAAAGTTTTCAAATATTTCAAGTATTACCCTTCAACAAATTTTCATATAAAAACACACAAAATCACAAAACATTCTTAGGCTTTAAAAACAGGTTACTCTAAAGAGTCTCTGTTCTCTTCTACAGAGGGTGCCAAAAAATGTATATATATTTTTAGAAAGGAAAAAATGATATTAAAATCATAATATTCAATATATCCCAATAACAAAAGATGAATACAAGTCATGTGTATACATTTTTTTGGCAGCCCCAGTATTAGACAGAGCTGCCAACGAAGATGAAAATAAAATGAAAGTATCTCAACTGTCAAGTTCTCAGGAGCACATGTGCGACATAATGTGAGTCTCACCCTTGCACCAACCTGAGCATCTTCGAATGTGTATCGTCCAGGCTCCTTCACATTTTGGGTGGTTTTGTCATAGCTCTTAGAATCCAAGTTAATGGCACTGGGGGCTCCTGGAGCCAGAAATTCTTGCCATATTTCCTGTACTCGGGAGGGGACTTCTCTGATAGGTCTTTTCTTCAGGTCCTCCACTGCTAGCCAGAACCTGTTCAAAATGTGACACCAGCATTAACTCCAATGTCTCAGTCTGAAAATTCTTAGTGATCTTACAATTCACAGTGATGTATGATAACGAAGTCGCTTTCTCTTGAGGGCTTCCTATATCAGGTCTTTCCTGAGTTTTTTATTAGTTGTATTAAAAGGTTTAACATTTTTCAGAAGGAAATATTGAAAACAATCTCTCTTAAGTGTTTGCTATTAAAAGCAGATCTGCCAGAGCCCTGATTCTATGCAACCTTAACTGTACTGAAGCAAAGTAGCAGTAAGAAAGACCCATTTATTGGGAGGAAGGGAAGTTGGCAGAGTATACAGGGTGGGTGACGAACAGCAGATGATTGGGGGATAACACGGTGCATTATACTGTATTCTTTGGATCTTTCGTCCATTTGCGCAATGAGGGTTAGTACGGAGAGGATTTTCTGCTCTACCTGGCAAGGGAATTAAAGTGAAGCTTTACTGGAGTTAAAAGAGGCCTGGACAAGGATCAGAACAGGCCCTAGCTTGAGAAATCAGGACAAGTAACTAATTTTAGGCTATTTAATGCAGAGCTATGGAATGACAGAAGCAGTAAGCTTTCACATGCAATTGTTTAAAAGGCTTAAATTTGCAGAGGCTTCATAGCACTTCGGGAGCTCTGGAAAAAATAAATACATATTGATTTACTTCTAAATATAGAAATATATTTCATAGACTTTATAGAATATATATTGTATAAGAAAAAATATGTTTTGGTTGATAAGAGCAAATAGAAATGTCTAAAAATAAAGGGTTGCATTATATTCAAGGATTTTATTTCTTTCCATTTGCTCTATATCTTTTTCATTAGATCTAGCAATAAAGTTGAACAGATGAATATGTAGGTCATCATTTGTTAATATAAAATACACTTGAAAGAGGAGCTACTAGGTCTGTGTTATCCTGAACAGGAACTGTCATTGTTCAAGTGGTAGGTGTGATCATGAGATGGAGAGGGAGAGGGATGGGGGCCACTCCAGCCTGTAGTCTTATGAGAAGTGCAAGGCCATTAACAGGACCTTCATCACTGTCATTAATAAGTTTTAACTTGGGCATTAATGAAAGGTCAGAAAGAAGCAGCTGAGCTAGAATTAGAATATCAAATGCTACTCATTCTAGTCACTCTCCAGTTTCTAGGTATTGTTTTTCTGTAGATATAGGTAACAGTAGATACTCCAGTTTAGACAATGCCTTAAAAATGAAACCCCCACTTTTGTTTTCAGAAGGGAAGGCTCAAGATCATTTCCTCCTAAAATACAGATCTCAGCACTACAATCTAACAGGAATAGGCAATTGGAGGGAGCATAGTTTTATAACCAAAGCCCATTCAACCTCTTTCCAGCGCACTTGAAACACATCAAGAGGAAGAAAGGATCTGTCCTCAGAGAACTAGAGAGACAGGTAAACTGTTCAGGTGGCCTCAGTACCAAGAAGCACATGAGAGGCTCTCAAGGAACAGCACAAATTGGACAGTCTGGGAAGGCAGGGCGGGAAGGAGCCCCCCTGCTGGGTGAGCACTGGGCTGGAAAAGGGAGTTCTAGGAAACTGCTATAGATGCAGTGACATCTCAGATGGACTCTGACATACGGGTAAAATATCAAAGGGTCGAAGAGCAAATAAGGACAACGCCTACACTGATAAGCAGGGGCAGACGCTATTCTACGTGACTTAGCTATGTGAACTCATGCAGTCCCTACAGCTCTCTAGTGGATGTGCTATTATGTCCCCCAGGTTCGGAGAAGAGAGCACTGAGGATATAAAGATAAGGTCACTCAGCATGGGTGACATAGCTGGGTTTGCCCCCGGATAACTTGCAGCAGATGATGTGCTCATAACCACGCCCTCGAATACCTCCTACGAGTATCATCGCCTTTTATCCACAGCATTACTGATGTAATCATCATAATGATTTCAAATGGAAAGGACACTCCCTTTCTTTGAGCCTCGATGTCTTCATCCATAAAATAGGCTGCTAATGCCATTCTCGGCAGGTTTCCATGCAATTACATAGGATCAATTATGGAAAGGGCACTTTTGAAGTGCGTGACATGTATTTAGGAGCTCAAAAATAAAACTCATGTGATCACTGTTACTTAGAATTTACTCTAGGAAGGAGCAAAACGGAGACCCAAGGAGAGCATAGGTTGAGTCTGCGGAAAAAGTAGTTATCGATAAGCAGTATTTCTGGACTTTTTAATGTGCTAACACTTGAGGAAAATGCTCATATAAGTGCCGCACTTCCAAAAATAGCAGGTGCTTAGCACTATGTGGCTCAGATAAGATGCATTGAGGCTGATTTGAGTGGAGTTAGCTCTGTCAGCTAACTGAACCGTTTTGTCTCCTTCAGGCTGTGACACCACGTACTGAGGCACAAGCAGTGGAGCTCGGATTTGGGGAGCAGTGGATAGTATCCTCGTATTGGTTGGTAGAAAGCCTAGGATGCAATTATTAGCAATCTGACTTAGACAACATGTTAAAATCAACCTTCCCCAACCATATTTTGCTTGTCTGTACAATGGGGTGAGAACACTTACATTTCATTTTTGTTGTGATGATTGTGTGTGTGATAATATCACAGGCATACTTATAAAAGTAGTGGGTATAAAGCATATTATGGCATATAGTAAGTGTTCAAAAATTTTATCTCTATCTATCTATCTATATATTAGGGAAACATAATAGGCATATGGAAGATACATATAGATACACATATAGATATGAAATATGTAATATTTTATATGTAATTACTTAGTAGGGAACCTAGTGTGGTATAGAATTATTGAGATAAAAAATAGTTAAAGCTTGAACTAAGAAGTCAGCAGTGATTCAATTAATTCATGAAACAAAGTTTATATATGCTATTCTCGTTGCCCCAAAGCTTCTTTCTTCTCCCTTTTTTGCTTGATTATCTCCTTGTCATCCAGATCAAAGCCTAGAAGCCATTTCCCTGAGGGTGTCTTTCCTGATCCCCAACTCTGGGTTAGCTATCACTCTGTCCTTCTCTAATCTAAACCCCCATCACTTTGTGCCCTAATCTGTTTTCTTTGCTGCATCCACCAGGAGGCTATAATTTTAATGAGATCAGGAACCATTTTTTTATTTAGGTGACTCTGGTAAGGTTCATTACTTGCTTATTTCTTCATCATAATGCCCATAATGTCAGCATTTTTTTTTCAAAACTTAGAGAATTAGAGGAAACTCCACTTCTCCATCCATTAAAATGCTAAAAATATCATTTACCTCTGCTATATTTTTATATTTTCTTGTACTCAATAATTGATGATGTGACCTTAATATATAAAATGTTATTTAACAGTCCCAGTAAAAATTCTTAGCAAGTATTGATCCCATAAACTTGAGAAGGG